GATATGTCCACAAATATACTTTGCTTATGCCACGCAATATATTTAGCTTTTATAAATTATAGCAAGAAGTGTCTACCCTTTCACAACTTTCACAAAATCAGATATAAGCTTAATTTTCAATACAGACAATTCATGTATGTAGGTGACCGAATATTTCTCTGAAAAATAAACCATGTGCATATTCCCAGAATTTAGCACCCTTGCATCAAAATAGTAGGAATAGCACTATTGGATCAGGTTTCATTTAGGCAATGTAGACTTAAACTTCTCCCACTATTGTCCCTGCACAACTGGGTGTGTGCTGTCCTCAGCTCAGAAGTAACCCATCAAGACATCAAGACCCAAAACCCTTATTCCCATGCATTGTTTACTTTTGTCAAGCTTTATTATATAAAGTCATTTGCAAACAAGACTGAGTCAAGTTAAAGAACAATGGCAGAGTAATTAACATGTTGAATGAAAACTTCTTCTGAGAAAGAGTTCAGGAAGGGGAGAAAGAAACAGCAGCTGCATGGAAAAGTCCTATTCAAAAGCGATTAGTCAGGTCTTTTACATTTTTACCTCATTCTTCATAATTACATGTTAGGAGAAATTAGTAATTTCCTGCACTTTCTGTTTATTTCCTGTTTATTGTTCCTTTTACCTTGATAATAGAGCAGCTATGTACCATGGCATTTTAAACTAAAACTTGCACCTTTCGGTAAGATTTGAGAAGAATCTCGATAATTTATTAAGGATTATGAATTAGATAGATAGATAGATAGATAGATAGATAGATAGATAGATAGATAGATAGATAGATAGATAGACAGAGATAGAGATAGAGATAGAGATAGAAATAGAGATGGATATGGATATCTCCATGGTAGCACTGTATATCACTGTATACATTTTTTTAAGTCACTTGCTTATATTATGTTTGTATAAGGATAAATTATGACAGGAATGGTTCAGATCCAGCTGGAGATATACATTTTAAATAAGCAATACATCTTAACTATAGTTAAGATTTTCAACTTAAAATTATGCTAAAAATTCTGTCTCATTAGGAATTTCACTCTAGTCATGAAAGGAATTTTTGTTTATTTGGTTCTTGCATCTGTTATTTATGTTCTATACTTCATAGCCATCTTATTCTCCTACTATAAATATGGCCTGTGAAAAATTATGGTTCTCACAAATTTAGAAATGGTATTACTGAAATTAGCATCTTTGGCAACAGTCTTTTTAGGACATACCAAAATAGCAGTAATCAACCACCACACTGAAGTATGCTACAAAATTTATACATTATGGATAAATATCTTACATACATCCCTAATAAAAATCTTGTCAAGCCCTGTTAGCTAATGCCATTTTTTTATTATATTACTTTAATATCCCATCTTATAAGGTGAGTCTCATCTTTATTCCAATAACAAATCTATCAGGCACATTGCTCTGAGACATTGTGACCAGCATGGATTTGTCCATGTGCTAAGGAGGACTTGAACCTGAACTCCATTTTGCCAGGCCAACATCTTAACCAGGTTTAAGCAGCTTTAAGGAGAGCTATTATACAATCTACTCAGATGTTTCCAAATCACACCATCCATCTTTATCCAATCATACTAGCAATAGCAATAGCACTTAATACTTATACATAGCTCCATAATGCTTTACAGCACTCTCTGAGTAGTTTACAAATGTCAGCATATTGCCCCCAACAATCCGGGACCTTATTTTACCAACCTTGGAGGGATGGAAGGCTGAATCAATCTTGAGTTAGTCAGGATCAAACTCCTGGGTGTGGATAAAGTTAGCCTGCAATATTGCATTCTAACCACTGGGCCATCACAGCTCAGTATTCAGTACTGTTCAAGACACTTCTTATTCAGGTTCTGGTCATTAACAAGTCTCTATTTCTTCCTCTCTCATGCCAAATACCTAGACACAGGACTGATGATAAACAACAACACTGACAAAAAATGACTTATGATGGTTTTTCACCAGAGGTGGTATTCAGCAGGTTCTGACCAGTTCTGGAGAACCGGTAGCAGAAATTTTGAGTCGTTCGGAGAACTGGCAAATACCACCTCTGACTGGAGATTTCACAGTATCCTTCCCCTGCCACGCCCACCAAGCCACACCCACAGAACCTGTAGTAAAAAAAATTTGAATGCCACCACTGTTTTTCACACGACCATTGCAGCATCCCCATGGTCATGTGATCAAAATTCAGGCACTTGGCAACATATCTATGACCTATAAATTTTTGTCTCAATTGGGGTCATAAGTCAAGGACTACGTGTACCACATCAACTGTACCACACTTATTTTATGGAATATTTCACTGGCTATAAGCAGAAGGAAAGAGCAAAGGAAATGCTTGTGTGCATCTGTGAAAAAAGCAATATTCATAAGAACTTTTATTCAGTCCTTTCTGTTTAGGAGCATTGGTTCAACTTTGCTGAAAAACCCTTTCAAAAACAGCTATGGGATACTCTACGCTGCTCAGTCACTAGATGGAGCCATCTATATTACTTCTTATTCTTGTGAAATCTGAACTCAATCTTTGCATTCCTGGATCTAAATTCTTTTTAGTCAAAAGAGGCATTATTCAGACCTTCAGGCACTGTTCCTTGCCACACAAGTTGTTTCTGCATTTTGTGGATGGCACATTCATCCAAAAATCATCATTATCATCACTACTATAGGGCTGTATATTTATTTGCATACCCTTAACAAATAATAACATGCTAATGCCAAGTATGCTTTCATTAGAAATGAATTTTAAGTTAGGACATTGTTTTAGGAAACAGTCCTCTACATTTTTGTGAATGAAAATATTACTTCTGTTCCATCTGTTATATGAAGAAGGCTTTCATCTTGCCTATAGATAAATGCAGGGTGGTGTTAAAAGGTGCATTATTTCAAATATTTCATTTCCAAGCCACTCTAGAAATAAGCATCATACTTTGAAATGGCCTTTAAGCTGAATGGTCAGCCAATGAAATCTTTCAGAACTGATAAAACATGACTGCAAACTAGATTAGGCTAGCTAATTTCCTATATTTGATACACTTTTAAAGCCATTTTTAAGATGTCTTTCAAAAAAATGCATTAAGGTAATCTAATTAAGATACTTTTCCAGGAAATACTGAGGCTGACAACCTAATGACACTGAAATCATTTGAAATTCTAGTCATAATGCAGAATCGAGGAGTAACCCAACCTGTGCAGCCCTTCCTTCATGCTACCCAGAACAAATAGTAGACTAACTTCTTGAAAACAGTTATTACCAATACACATTGCTTTCATTGTTACCAAATAATAGGGATGCAAGGGACCTTGGAGGTCTTCCAGTCCATCCCTTGTTAAGTATGGAATCCTCATACAATTCTGGACCAATGGTTATCCAGTCTTTTCTCAAATATCTCCACTGATGGAGCATCCACAATTTCAGGTGGCAGGCTGTTTTTTGTTTGTTTGTTCACTTAATAGCTCTGACATTCAGGAAATTCCTCCTTAGTTCAGGTTTAGATCACTCACTATAAAAATTCCACTCACTGATGTTTGTCTTACCCTTAATTTTAGCAAGAATAAGTCTCCCTGTAATATGTCAGAAGACTGTGATGTTGTCTCCTCTTGGCCTTCTTTTCTTTGAGCTAAATATACCAAGCTCCTTTCACTGCTCTTCATAAGATTTAGTCATCAGGCCCTTTACCATCTTGTTGCTTTTCTCTGCACTCTTATAGGTATATTTTATAGTTCTTCTGAGTTCTGAATATAACTCCATTAATCCCTAACACCATCAGAATGTGGGGCACAGGCAGACAAGCACAGACTCTACAGCACAAGTATAAGGTCAAACAAAACTATAGAACAAAATGTAATATTTCAGTTATCACTTCCAATACTTAATTTCCGCTCCAGTGTGACCACACATAGGATATACAATATTTTGTTGCAATGAGAACCCAACCAGTTAATTTTCTTCTGCTTTTTCTGTTGCATTACCCAGCATACTAGAGTGCACCTCTGAAACAATGCCCTCTGATGAGACTTGGTAGGTATGTCTTTTCTATTGTGGAACCTTCAGAAACACATAAAAATCTGACTATTTTCTTGGACTTCGGGCCTGGGATGAATGGAAAGATATGAATAGAGTGATATGAAAGAAATTTTCTGGTTCATCTATTGACGCTTTGGATTTGACTGAACTTGTTCATTTTGTTCATTTTTATTTATTTATTGTACTTCATCCAATTTGCAATATTTAAGTTGGGCAGCTAATACATTTTGTAAGTAAATAAGTAAATCAGCAAGATGCCGTAGCTCAATGGCCAAGACTCTGAGCTTGTCGATCAGAAGGTTGGCAGTTCAGCAGTTTGAATCCCTAGTGCCACTTAACAGAATGAGCTCCCGTTACTTGTCCCAGCTTCTGCCAACCTAGCACTTTGAAAAGCACGTAAACAATGCAAATAGAAAAATAGGGACCATTTGGTGGGGAGGTAACAGTGCTCCATGCACCTTCGGTGTTTAGTCATGCCGGCCACATGACCACAGAGACATCTTCGCTGGCTCTTTGGTTTAGAAACGGAGATGAACATCGCCCCCTGAGCCAGAGATGACTAGCATGTATGTGTGGGGGAACCTTTACTTTTACCTAAGTAAATCAAGAGTCCATTGACTTCACTCCCGAAACAGGACTGTTATGTCAGGTTTTTTCTCCCTCATATCTGCAATCAGGGAGATTATATTTATTCTCCATGCTTGCTGCTATTCTAATAATGAATAACTCTCTCCCCTCCCCCATTTTGTGATTTTATTTATAACTTTAGAAACCTGTTTATTGATATAAGCATGCACTGAACCCTATCAGGCTCAATTTGACCCTTCATTTCAAATTTGTGGAGACCAGATTTTTTTTAATACTTGCAGTCTATCCAGACTGTTGTTGTACATATTTTTTTTACCAGAAAATACTGCTATGCACACAATATACATATTATGTTTACCTTGAGGGCTTTCTGCGCAACTTCACTTGAACCAATAGCAATGAGGTTTGGTCCAGCCATGCTGCAAAAGCTTTTCAGATGCAAGGAGTCAGCAACAGGGACTGTAGAAACAGCATAATCCTGTATATAAATGAGGTGTTTGCAAAAGAATTGTTTAGATTAATCGTCTTATACATTAAACCAATTACGTAGCTAGTCCTTGACTTACAACCATTCATTTAGTGACCATGCAAAGTTGCAGCAACACTGAAAAAGTGACTTAAGACCAGTCCTTGCATGAACATCATAGCATTCCCATGATCACGTGATCAAAATGAAGGTGCTTGGTAACTGGCATGTATTTACAATGATTGCAGTATCCCAGGGTCACATGATCAAAATTGGTGAACTTCCCAGCTATCTTCTGACAAGCAAAATAAATGGGGAAAGCTGGATTCGCTTAAGAATTGTGTGATTCATTTAACAACTGTGACAAAAAAGGCAAGACTCACTTAACCACTTAGCAATTAAAATTTTGGCCCCAATTATGGTTGTAAGATAAGGACTATCTGTAAATTGTACTTTTCAGTGTCTGAATATCTGCATATATTTTGGAGATAAACTCAGTTCTAGAAACACAGCACATTTCACATTTCATTATTTTAGAAAAGAAGCAAAAATGAATTATTCCAAGAAAAAATTCATGTACATTTACAATGTATATGAATTTTACTAACATCATGTAAAATAAATATATTATAATGTTGGAAAGCATTAAAAGCATCTATTCTTACGAACAGGAACCAGAAAAAATAGAAATCAGTATGATTTGTAAAACAAACTTATTGACTTTCTGTAAGTTAAAACACTTTTGGGACACTGCTCATTCTATAAACGTCCAGTGAAAATAAATTAAATTCAGTGAGTTATATTGTTAGAATCAGTTTAGTATTATAATACCTTAAAAATCTTTGGTAATTTTGGATGATAATTTATTACATTTATTTTTTTTAAAAAAGTGCTAAGCATATAAGCTCCCGGGTATTTTTACCTTCATCTGTAATGAAATCTTATGCAAAAATCAGACTAGCCTAAAGCATCGTGTATCACTTTCCTCATTCCCCCCCCTCATTTTTATCCTGCTGATAAATCATAAGATAGAATACTGGCTTGATTCACACATCACAGTAATTACTAATTACTGTGCTCCATGGTAATTCCTAATTATTGTTTGGCTTTAGTTTAATATGAACCCAATGACGTTTGTTACCATTGTATATAGCTTATGGTGATGTGTGTGTGAGTATGTTTAATAAATCCCAGTTGGTTAAAATAAATGATACAATGGTCTGGTGTTGGAGAGCAACCATCAAGTCAGGAGGCAGGCTCAAGTGGGGAATTGTACAAATTCCCATGCCTTTATACCTGTATATCTATCTCCAGAAAGAACACTTGTAAATCTGCTAACCTTAAAGGTGTCTGCCAGAATTTCTGCACCACGATGGTTGGTCCGCTTTGAAAGACCCACGAAAAATTCCCGACCTTAAAAGCAGAAAAGATACATTTAGTTTAAAAGCAGCATGGACTAGAAGAACCAAAAATTATCAAAAGTCTATTATAATGCGGCTATTGCAAACATTCTTTCATTAACCTTTATCACTACCACTTTCCTAATCAGTATATGATTTTATTTCCAATTTCTTGTTCAGGCTATGAACTTAACACTTTTTTAAAAATTTACATTTTATCTAAAATTAAATTGTTTTTGTATTTTCCCTGCTTGTAATAAATATAAGATCATTAAGACCTAAATGTTACCAATATTGGACGAAGAAAACTATATGTAATTTACAATGTATGTTACCAACTAAGAAGGTCAATGTCAGAGGAAATCTTTTTTTATATTTATCATAATACATAACACATGACATAATATCAGTGATACTTATTACATTTGTTCTCCTTCACTTGTTATTATAAGAAGACCAAATTTTAACTTGGAAAAAGATTTACTATATTGAAAGTCTAATATCAATGATAGGAAAGCAAATTTACTAATTTAATATTGTGTTAGGAGAATTTGCACATATTGTAGAAAATAAATACATTATAAATAAACCTGTCTGCAGACTTCAAATATTAAAAAGATTTTTAACCTTACTATACCTGTAAATAAAACATCTCCTCCATCCAAGGTTGCTTGGTCATCTGTCATCTCTACAATATTCAGGCTAAGACTGTTAAGTGCTGTTTTCATTGCTTCAACCTGTTTGAAAAAATGAAATAAAATTTTGGTTTAGTGATGCCAACTTAAAATATCTGCACACTTCTGAACTTCAGATCTACTCTAACTGAAATCACACTTCTTTTAATAAGTCAGCTTTATTAAACCTTAAAATGATAGCATTGCCATTGTTACTGATCTAACATTCTACTTCATGTACTCTGGTTACAATAGATTCAAGAAAAAGACAAATTCAATAAACTAAAACATTTTTTTTAAAATCACGATTCACTGTAAAAGTTACGATGACTTTGTCTGAAGTAGAATGCTATCTTGAAGAATAATGATCATAGCATATTTTTGTCATCTTATGATGACAATAATTTCCCTGTGTTTCTGTTATATACAGCTTGACAACAATTTAAATCTCTAGAGAAAATGTAAAACATATCCTGTACAATTTCTTTGATATCCACATTAAAGTACTGCAGGTATTCTGACTCAGTTATACATTTACCCCATTTTGAACTAGAATATTTCTACGCCAAGCCATCTTTGAACTTGTTGTTAAAAAATCTCAACTATGTTAATATATGGAGTTATAAAAAAGAGCAGTACATGTAATAAGTAACTAAATAGTCCAAGCTGCCAACTTATCAATAAATATGGAACTGCTTTGCTATAATTTTTATATCAAGTCTAACAAATTATTTCTTGAACTACAATTATATATTTAATATGGTCAATTTTAGATGTTTTCATGTGACTGTTAGGACAGTAAAACAATATTTGCCATGTGACAAAGAATAAATGGTTTTCAACTGTGCAATTTATATTAAAAACAATGATCAAATTATCAGTTTGAGGTCTATCAACAATATCTTAAATGCACAATACACATTTCAAGCATATACCTTAATTTTTTTAATTGGGCTAAACTAGATGTATTAAGAAACAGATATTTTACTTTATGAAAATTTATTTTATGTAATTTTTGTCTACCCTTTAGTTTTATTAATTATACATGTATGTATTTTTCTTTGATGTAAAGGCCTTAATAAAGGCTTCGGTTTGATTTGACATAATCAGATCTTATAACCTCCTTCCTAAAACTAGACAATAGCAGGAGGCCATGAATGCAACATTGGTAAAAAAAGATCAAACTTTTCCCCACCAACACTGTTTACTGATCAAAATAATCAGTTCCAGTAATGTTTGTTTGTTTGTTTCAATTTAGGTGTTTGCTTAATTTCAGAATAACTCTGGGAAGTTCGCAATATAATAAACCATAAAACCACAATACAAAACAAAACAAGATGGGATTTGGTTGCTCTGTACAAAAATACAGATCAAAGATTTCTAACAAGGAGCAATTAAGACCTGGGACACAATCAGGTGTTTGAGGACTTACATAACGCCAGTAGGGTGACAATCACACAGAATTCAGATGGGATCTCGTTCCAGAAGACAAATACTGCAATAAACCAGAGGTGGTATTTAGCAGGTTCTCACCAGTTCTAGAGAACTGGTAGCGAAATTTTGAGTTGTTTGGAGAACCAGAAAATATCACCTCTGACTGGAGATTTTACAGTATCCTTCCCCTGCCAGGCCCACCAAGCCACACCCACAGAACCAGTAGTAAAAAAATTTGAATCCCACCACTGCAACAAGCGAAGCACACTTCCCGGTGGCATTGTTTAATTAAGAGGCTCTGGAGCAGAGGTGGGCTTCAGCTAGTTCATGCTGGTTTGGGCAAACCGGATGTTAATTTTACGTCCGGTTCGGCAAACTGGTAGTTCTGATGACCGGCTGGCCCCGCTCCATCCCACCCCTCCCAGGAGTCCCCATGCAGACTGTTTTGGATCCCAGGTAAGTGCAGGGGGCGCGTGGAGCCTGGGGAGGTGGAAAAGGGGCCTCCCAGAAGTTCATGGAGGGCAAACATGGGCCTATTTCCAGCCTCCAGAGAGCCTCCAGAGCGGAGGTGGAAAACGGGCCCTCCACAGCCCATTTTCACTCTCAGTGATGATGCAGAAGGCTGATTAGACCCCGGCTATCATAGCCACACCCACCCAGCAACCGGGCAGAGAACCGGTTGTTAAATTATTTGAAGCCCACCACTGCTCTGGAGCATGCCAAATATGTCAGCTCCTAGTAGATGGGTAGAAAACATGGGAGATAGATGGTTTCTCAAATAACCTGTCCCTATGTCATGTAGGGCTTTATAGGTGATGACCATTGCCTTGAATTTCTCCAGAAAAATACAGGCAGCTGGTGTAGCTTGTAAAACAGTAGTGTCACATGGACATACTGAGGCATGCCCATCACTGCCTGCACCAATGCATTCTGGGCCAGTTGAAACTTGTAAGTGGTTTTTATGGGCAATCCAACCTAAAGTGCTTTGCAATAATTGAGTCATCAGTGACTAGGGTATGAGGATTGTATGAAGAGCCGTCCAACCCGGGAATTAATTCAATCCTTATTTTTTTCATTAAATCTAGACCACATAAACACATATTGTTCCATCCAGGAGAATAAGAATATATGGAATAAGTGAGGAAGACTTACACTGAGCACCGAGCCGACATCCTAATACTGAACCTAAATCCATGATATGTCTAAGCCCAGCTCCTTCAAGATTGAAATTCTGAAGCCTAAGGGCTCCCATCCATCACCAACACAATCAATGTACTGTATCCATTAAGAAATCACAAGCAGTGATGATATGCCGGGTTTTAAAACATGGGACTACCTTTTACTGCAGTAGAGCCTGAAATCAGGCCCAGAAAATATAAATTAAATTAAATAAATAATAAATACTCTGTGGAAATTGGAGAAGTTAAAGTTTAAGTAGTTGGGACATGTCTTTATTTTTTGGAATTTCAACAAGTGATTGAATTACCTCCTCTCTATCTTGTGATGCTGTCATCTACTGATAAGAGTATACTTTGCAGAACCATGTAGAAAAAGCAATGGTAGGATAGGTTGGCTCATCACATCCTCAATTCAGTTCTGCTTCAAGTTCTGGTATTTTTAAGGAAATCTGATTATTTATCTCTAAATCTAATTTTGAAACTATTCCTTCTTAGTTGTCCTTGCACAAAAGTGAATTGGTATTTATTGTTTAGGCTTCTAAACAATATTATGAGAAATGTAGTTGACATTTTTGATTATTTTTTATCCATACTGTTTTACATGTCAGGAAATGCTGAACAATGTAAACAAATTCCTTTTTTGATTTTGACAATTAAAGCTTTACATATGAAAGACAATGGAATGATGCTTCAATAGCCAAACCAAACAGAAAGTAGTTCTGTTTGATCTGGTATCAATGGAATCAATAGCTACTTTCATAGGATAATCTCTTTATACAGTGTAGGTATCTTAGATGAAGTACATTCTTTACTGTTTCTCAATTTCTTGTGTTTAAAAACTATCCTTTGGTAGAATACAACTTGGTTTTTCAATTGCAAAATATAAGATGCCCATGTCTATATTTGACTGAAGCTAAACTACAGTTTGAATGCAAACTCTGTCACTGATTTAATTAAATCAGTGAAACTTTAGTTGTGAATAGCTTGTTCCATTTAAACCAATAGCTTGACTCTATGTTTCATTAAATATGGATGGATCTATAACATTGCAGCTTTTAAAAAACAGATGATTTTTTACTTAGTGGACTTTTTCCACTGAAATATCATGTCTACATCTTTTTAAAGTCTTCCCTTGGAAGCGAAAATGCACATTTATAACAGCATGGAAACGGTGTCTACTATTCTCTAAATGGTGCATCTGTTCATATCTTTTCACATGAAAGCTGAATATAGTCTCAGTTTAAGATAAAATACAAATATTTTCTAATAAGAATTTCCCACTGATATATCAAGCACTTGAATGGTTAAGCCTTTATTGCTTTGTTCCCAATTTTCCCTCCTTCCTAATAAGCACATTCCTGTTGTGAGATGGAATGTATCTAATCCATAATAAATCTGGTTGAGAGACTCTGGGTCTAAGCCAGCTGAACTTTGTTTGAAGGGAAAGAATACTCAATGTATTTGATGGTATTTGTAAAAATCTGGTTTCCTCAACCCCTGGACCTTAAAAATGGAGCTCATTGGTCATTGCACAGATGCAGTTCATCTTTTTTTTTTCAATTGCTGCATGTAAAATACCTGTGTCCTCTATATTTGTGCCAACATACTTTAAATGCAAGACATTTTTTAGAAATTATTTCCCAGTGCTCAGTTATCACAGCTCTGGCAACTAAACAAAAGTTTTTCAATTGAAAGGAAATATGACAGGTTGATAAGCAGAAGAAGGAGAGGAAAATTAATACTTCACTGCAAATAGCATAGAACAATTTACAAAACAGGTTTGTAATTGTAATGATTATAAATATGTTTATGAAAATATGGATCTACAATCAAGATGCTCTACTTTCCTTTGCATGTATTCTTTGAAATGGTTAGCGGAACAACTCTTTTGTAACCTCAACTCCTAAAAGAAATCTGGAATGCCATTTAATGGGGAATAAATTTTCCAGCAAATAATTGCTTTGTCTGGTACTTACTGATGCACTGCAGAATTGGGGAAAGTATGTGAATATCATTCTCAACCTCTAAACTATTTTCAAAGAAGTGAAAATGCAAGCTAGCCTATTAGCAACAAACAACAACAACAATAAAAGTCAGCTTTACTTGGAATAAAATGCAGCTTTACTTGGAACAGCTTACATCGTGAGACAATATATCTGCCTATTCCAAGTGCTTAGAAAGGACTCGATAGGTAGACCAAAAATGCCAAATCCAGTCTGAACATCTGCCTGAATATACTACTAACAATAACAATAATAGAAAACTGGTAAAGCAAACAGACATGCAAGCTTTAAAAGACATTCTTTTTATTTTTTTCATCATTATATTCTAAAATTTTATCACTACCCCTTCCTCTAATTCAAAATTTTATCACTATGCTCCTTCCTCTAATTCAAACAGATATCACAACAGATCTACATGTTATGCATTTAATTTTCTTGGTGCTTTGAA